CATGCCGAGGGGTAGTAGGAGACGCATACCAGGGTCAAGATACACGCTTACAGGGCACACCTCTAGGGACCTCCTTTCTCTAAGTAGGCTCCAATTCCTATAGTTTCTGCCACCTACCAATAGTCCATTTAATTATGAACCTATGAATGAATGAATGAATGATCCCATTGATGGGATTAGAGACCTCATGACCCAATCACCTCCCAGAAACCCAACTCAATGCTGCTGTACTGGGGACCAAGCTTTCATTACATAAGCCTTTGAGGGCACACTCCAGATCTAAATCATAACACCATCTAAGCACATACTTACTCTACTCATATCTATTTATGGAACCAAGGACCTATATCTGGGTTACACAGAGCTACTAGACTGAACTAGAGAGGAAGGCCCAATTCAGTCTAGTTAGCCTGTCCTATAAATACAGGAACAAAAAATAGTCCTGATGAAAATCAGAATTACAGATTATAGCTATTCTGACAAATTTACATTTAAATAAATTATTTTGACAGAATGAGATTGCCTCTTTTTTTTTTTTTTTGTCACTGGGCTTAGTAATTCAGTAGTATTAGGATACAAGTTGACCAAAAATGTATCTTGTCTACAATGACAATTATAATTGAGACAATGACAATTGTAGAATGAGAAGTTTGAAATGGTATATGTAAAAGCTGGCAAAAGACAGTGATTTTAGGAATGCCCTAGAGACTGTGCATATAAGCTGACTGATGCAAATTGAGCTGGATTTTAAATATTTATAAGGACTTCCCATTGTTTTTCTTCCATTTTGGGGAAGGTATTTATAGAAGGTATAGAAAGATCAAATACCTTAATTTAAGAACAAATTGTATGGTGGAGAATAATGGCACTCTTTCCTGTTTCAGAGTTTCATGAACTTTATGTCCTGAATTGAGAAAATGGAAGCAAAGCACAGTGACAAATGACAGAATTGGACAGTCAGAGCTGGAATCATCTAGGACTTCACCCATATAATGCAAAGAAAAAAATGTCATTACCAAGAAACTGCCTCACCTCAAACATTCTTTATGGGGAATTGCACTAACATCCCTGAACTAAAGCTGACCCTGCTGTCCTTAGCCAAAATAATTTTTCTCATCAGATATATTTATGATAGCTTCAAAAAAAAACAACAATTTGCCAGTCAGAGTGTTGCATGCCTCTAATCCCAGTGATTTGGGAAGCTGAGGTAGGAGGATCACAAGTTCACGCCAGTCTCAGGAGCTTGGCAAGACCTTGTCTGAAAATAAAAAATAAAAAGGGCTGGGGATGTGCTCAGTAGTTAAGTGCCCCTCAGATAAATCCTCAGTACCAAAAGAAACAAACAAACAAAAAAAAACATCACCACCAAAACCATCCAACCTGAAATACAATTCAAAACCTTCTGAGAAAGCCACTGGAGCAAATTAGAAGAAAGGAGTTGGAGACTCAGACTAGTTGCTAACTGGCTCTGTGATTTGGGGCAAATTATGTCATCTTTCCAAGCTAACTGGCTGTTAAGGTATGTTTCAGCTCTAATTTCCTTGTAACTTATTACCCAGGGAAGCATACTATGAAGTTCTCCAGTGATATAAGACAGAAAATATTTAATAACAACAAAATATTTACTTTTTAATCAGTCTTCATGATCAGAAAGGTCTTTTTTATAACATATGTTAGTTTCCCCCATGTTTTAGGTAAAGCCTAATCATCATAGAGGAGGAAAAAAACCCCTTATTTCCAGTATCCCCTAATGCTATCACTAATATTGTAGTTTATTACTTTTAATAACTGGRTGACTGAACTCTGATGATAAATACCTACTAACACAAAGAAAAAGGCTGGCTTCATCGATACTCCCTTTAGTTTGTACTTATGTTAAAGCCTGGGCCATGGGTTGGATTCCTATATAGGACTCTAGGCTACATACAAAAATCTCCATATTTGTTTTGTTGTCCTGTAAAATGATGTTGTTAATTGAAGATACAAAGATGGTTCATCAATACAACTAAGAAAGCAGAGCTAAARTGCCTCTCTTACCTTAGAGTCATCTTGGTGCTGATGCTCACTGTCCACCAAAATAAAAAGTTCAAAAGAATCTGTTGAAGAAAGTGGCAAACCACAGTGAGAAAGAAAGGGTCAGTAGATTGGAATAAAACATATTTACTATCAGCATAAAAAAACAAAACCCAAGACTCCTTACTTTGGAAGGATATGACACGTAAATTCTACTGGAGTCACCATGTCAAAGAGCTATGTACTCTCTCCTGAGCTCTGTGCACACAAGTAGCTGTCACGTTTTGGGTAGATCTGTATGGTCATTGCCAGATTATGAACAAAAGAAGCTCCAACATGTGGAAAATAAACTAGACTACAATACACTGTTCTTTTATGGGGAACATTTCATATCTCATTATTTTTATCAAATGTAAGCTGGATTTTCAACATTTATAAGGACTTTCCATTGCTTTTCTTCCCTTTTGGGGGGTTTGTATTTTACAGAAGGCATATGACACTAATTTCCACATAGTCCAAAAAGCTTGTGTTTCATATGGGAAAAAACACTGTTTTAACCAACTATATTTTGCATAGCACTTCCATTGCTAACTTTTCTTCCCATGTCTTAAAGACAGTATTATTTCCCTTTCTGGTATTCATAGAGCTCTTCCTCACCAACAAAAGTCCCCAAGTCGTCTTTTCACTTAAAAACAGTTCTACATCACTTATCTTCAATCTTATTCATTTGGGTCTCCTTTTTCTATAAACCTGTAACAAATCCTAATTTAGTGTCTATTCCTGAAGAAGGATGCTAGCTGGCAAAACTCCCTTAGATTTCTTTTTCTAGGAGCCTTGAGCAACAAATATACCACTTACAGTAACTTTCAAGTGGAAAATGTAATTTTTATACAATTTGAAAAATATGCCTATAAAAAAACTTTGAATAATAAAAACCTCAGAAGGAATCTGACCTAAAGGACAAAGAATTTAAGTGGGGGAAGAGTCTTTAAACAATACTGTCTCATCTAATGAAAGGTTCTATGACCTGACTCTCATGCTTATTAAGAAACCCTTGTTTTTTCAGTTTTCCTTATATTTGGGGGAAATGGCCAGGCAAAGGGAAAAATCAAGGAAATTAAAAATGTTAAATAACAACTCCTCAGTCTGCTTTTAAGAACTTTCACACCTCAAAAGCTATCTCCACCCAATGACTGAAGGATCCTACAGCAAATTTTTGAAATTCTTATTTGTTTTAGCACCATTTTAGTTAGTTTAACCTTAAACACACTTGTATTTAAAATTAACTACTAGGAACTGAGAAGACATCAAGAAAATGAAGAATGTGGTGAGTCCTTTTCTGGAGAAATAAAAAAAAACAAAACAAATATTAATCAATATGATATAACTGTTATTAACCCCAGTTCTTGAGGTAGAGGATGGCATGTTTAAAAAAAAAAAGAGGTTTGGAGTTATAGCTCAGTAGTAGAGCACTTGCCTATCATGTGTGAGGCACTGGGTTCGATCTTCAGCACCACATAAAACTAAATAAATAAAATAAAGGTATTGTGTTATACTTTTATTTTATTTATTTAGAAAAAAAATTTTAAAAAAGAAAAGACAGCCAAGTAGTTCTACCACTGTAGTTGCTTTATTTTGTATGCATATAGCCTTCATAAAATGAGATTGGTATTCACTGACCAAAGGCAGAGAGCTCAAGAAAAAATATTTGTTGAGCTTCCAATGTGCTTATCTTCAATCTTGTTTTTTTTTTTTTTGCCAAGTGTTCTTGTTTCTGGAAATATAGTGGTTATATCTGCAGGTTTTAGAGCTAAACTGGGTTCACTTAATTGCTGTAAAATCTTAGGCAAACTGCTTAATCCATTAAGGCCCATTGTTCTAGACACAGGGCAACTATAAAAACTTAAATTGAGCAACAAATATACTACTTACAGTAACTTTCAAAATAATCATTGTTTGTAAGAGTTCTATTCTTTTGAAAAAATAGGTGAATGACTAGAGCTTTTAAAAATATACATTTCATATATATATATATATATATATATGCATATATAAAGGCTATATAAACTCTAGATTATTATTTCCAACCTAGTTTAGAGCTCCCGCGTCAATTCTGTTGAAATTCTCAAAGAATTGAAAGCTTAAGACTTAATGAATTAAGCTTTCTAAATCTCAATTTCCCAATCTGTGGGGATAGTACTTTTATCAAATTTTGGTATTATTCATCATCGGATCCTCACAATCTCTATTTTGAACAGGAATTCAAGTAAGTTAAGTAGCTTTTTAAAAATTATTTATATGAGGAAGCGGAATGCATTACAATTCTTTTTACACATATAGAGCACAATTTTTCATATCTCTGGTTGTATACAAAGTATATTCATACCAATTTGTTTCTTTATAAATGTACTTTGGATAATAATGATCATCACATTCCACCATCATTTCTAACCTCATGCCCCCTCTCTTTCCCTCCCACCCCTCTACCCTATCTAGAGTTGTCTATTCTTCTCAATCCCACTATGAATCAGCTTCCTTATAAGTCACCTACTCCAGCCCTTCTTTTAAAAGGTCCACAGTTAAATATATGACTTTTTCGACATGCTAGTAATTTAAGACTTATAAATTCCTTCAAACAAGAAAAAGAAACTTCACGAAGTATGTATATTTCCCTAAGTAAGCAAGGTATATAAATTCAAATTACAAACTTTTTAGTGCCTTTAGATATGTGAGACTTTCATTTGTCATTGCCCCAGGCCCGTCCACACCCTAAATATTGCTTTTCTCGCCTCAATTGACTGCCGAGCTTGCGTGCGTGTCACTCCAAACACTCACACCTCTCCCAAGAACCTCCTAATTGATTTAAGCCTTGGTCCAGCCCACTCCTCCTTGCTCCTCCCCGAGGAGCTGCTGATTGGTCGAGGCACCCCGCCGCGTGGGGCTGTCTAGGCCACCTCGCGCAGCGCCCGCTGGGAGCCTAGCCAAGGCGCGAGGACTAGCGCGAGCTCCTCCTGGTGGGCCCCCTCCCCCTGAGACGACCCCCGCCCCTCCGCCCGACTGGTCCCCGAAACGGTGGTGGTGGCGGCGGTTTGTGGTCGTTGGTCCCAGGGATTTAGGACCAACCTTTGAAGACCCAAAGGGGTGAGGAAAGGATGGGGACAGTGGGTTTACTGCCAACTCACTTACCGCAATTAACGGCTGGAGACCCTGCCCCTTGGCCGCAAAAAGTCCGGTCCCACTCACTGTCACGCTGAACAGGCAGCAGGGATCTTGCCCCGCCAAAGGCGGTCGCTGTGGGCTCATCCCGCCCTCCCCAGGGCCACCCAAGTCAGCTATTGGACAAGTCCCTCCCTGGCCCAGGGGCATCTTGAGGCCAGACAGTGTCTGGAGCCCGCTCTCGCGCCGCCCGTCCCCGCCGTCGGGCCTCTGCTGCTCCTTCCGCCCAGCGGCGCCCGGCCCTCTCTCCGCCTTATTTCCGCTCTCCCTGGCCGCCTTCCGGCTGCTTCCCGTCTGCTGCCTTCCATGTTCTCTCCTTGACCCTCTTCCTGCGTCGACTGCAGCAGGTCTGGGCCGCCCGCCTTCCCCTCCGGCAGTTGTCGCGCCCGCGCGTCTCTTCCAGAGCCTTTGAGACGACGCCTAGGGGCGTCCAGACTGCGGGGTGAGATTTAGCAATCACGTCGTGCCTCCCTCGAGTACTGAGAATGAGCCTCGAACTTTCCTCCTGCTGTAACTCCTTCCTGTCTCTTCCCCAAGCSCTCTCTTGCGTGTTGAGTAGTGGAAGGTTGCGGGTGGACCGGGAAGACCAGTGACCCCTCTCACCCGCGTACGCCTTGGGTAGCTGGACGCGCCACCACAGTACCATCACGGTTTCCTTACACTTGATGGCTTTAATGGCTAATTTTAAAATGTTTCCTGGAGGAGAACTAGGGAGTTCCTAGAATCTCAAAATTGGGGGTTTTACCTTAGCGTTAATACAAATGCTGAGAACCTTGGGTTGGCTCGGGCACCGCCTTCCTCCTCTGTAGATTTAATTTGGCTCACGTTGAAGTTCCTTTAAGCTTTGACTCTCTTTACACTCGTGGTAAATAGGCTCTACTCTTTACGTGATGTAAATCGTGTCTTTAAAAAAAAAAATCTGCCCCACGTTGTTTGGGAATGGCGTTATAAAGCAGGAAGCAGGATGCCCTGAAAGTAGACATTAATTCACGTGTGGGCAGAGATTTGCTTATTGAAATGATCGGGAGATATTTTCAAGAATGAACAAAACAGAAAGTTGAGGAATTAGACATATTTGGAGCTTTTCAGATTTAAATTTCTTATGAACCCTGATGATAGACTTATTCAAACCATTCCATTTTAATACTTATTTGCAACTGTGTGTCTTTATAGACATAAAGGTGACTGCAGTTCCTGCATATTAACAGTGCCTTGTGTTCTGCTTAAGATACTGCTTTAAATGCCGATTTCCACGTCAGGGGGAAGTAGTAAACTTGAATATTGCTAAAGATAATAATGTAGTTTAATACTTAAAACGTAAACATGTATTTTGGGATATATTATGACTTAAAGATTAAGAATATACCCAGTTTATGGATTGAAATTTAAGCCTCATGTTTCACAGTGTCATTTTTTTGTCTGATGACACCAGACATACTTAAGAAAGAGTTGTGAATAGAAATCAGTGAGTTGGCTTAAAAAGTTGGACATTTTAATGCTGGCTATTGTTTACCATTTTATTTTAACTACCTAGTGGTTGGTTAAGTTAGATAAGGAAATGTGGGAAGAAAATATGGTCTCGGTTATAGAAGAAATTTAAGAATAGAGGTATACTTAATTTGGACAATAATATGTGGATATATTTGTCTTGCATTCAAAGGGTGTATATACTTTTGTGTTAAAAAATATCTTAAAAGTTTCTTGAAAGTTGTAAATTAGTTTTTAAATTTTTGTTTTATGCAAAATTTAAATCTCTCTGCAGTAATTCTAGGTGCATGAAACACTACATTACATTTATTTTACTTTTTGCAACAAAATGTGCTGACTCTTTAAAATTTTAAATGGAATTCAGCTGATTCATCTGTGCACTTTTATTTTGAAATAATCTTAGATGCACCTATCTTCACAAGTCTTATTAATCCTTCTTATTTTCCAAACAAGTTGCTCTAGTGTATTCTGTCACTAAAATGAATTGCTGCTGAAAATCTCCACTGAATTGGCAGCCATGGTCTCACTATACCGTAGTGTATAACTGAACTGTAACGTATCAGGAATTTAACATCTACTTTTAAGAATTCCATAAATATCTAATTGCTTTCTTTAAAAGTTTTGATATCTTAAAATGTTTTCATTGTTACATTTAATTTTTAAAATCGCAAAAGATGGGACTGGAGTTATGACTCAGTGTAATGCACTTGCCTAGCATGCATGAGGCACTGGGTTTGATTCTCAGCACCACATACAAATAAATAAAATAAAGGTACAGAAACAACTAAAAAATATTTTTAAAAAATCGCAAAAGACCTGTTCACTTTCWAATTACTATTTGTTTTGTAGAAATTTGGAAGAAGTTTTAATTTAAATTGATGAAACCAACTTCCTTAGATAAATTGTGTTGTCCATTTATATTTTACTAAAATTGTATTTGTCTATTTTTTATTAATGTTTAATATATTTCCTTTTTTGTAAGACAATGAAAATCTGAAAAACGTATTTGTTAACGAAAGGTGCTTGAAATTAAGATGTAGTTAACAAAGCTAAAGATTTGGTGGAATTGTTGTATATCTGTTCTGTGATTAGCTATGTTGTCCTGTCCTTTTCATAATTTATTGAGTTTTTTCATTTTTTCAAAATTAAACTAGAGGTGAAAATATTTATCTCTGAAAGTGTGGTAAATATGGCAAAAGAACATTTATTTATTTTTGTAGGGAATATTTATTGGTTATTTTTTTCATATTTTTCATTGGTGCATTGGGTAAAACAACTTTTAATCTACTATTTCTACTTTTTTTCTTTCTTTTTCATAAACCATTTGTGTCATTCTCTTGCCCAGGAACCCTCCTTTTCCTACTCTATTCCTTGGGTCTGCAGAATAAAGAAAAAAATTGGTAGAATACTTCGGAGTTTGAATCCACAGCTGAAAGTAAAGAGGAAAGAGTGAGCCTGGAACCCTCAATTGGTATGTCAGCTTTGTCTTGATGATTAGGGCTGCTATGCTTCCTTAGACATTTAGGTTAGATCTCAGATTGATTCTGGAATGTTTTAGAATGAATATTTTAGATCTGAGTATAATTCTCTGGCTCTGAATCTTGAATTTTGGTTCTTTTAGAGATATAATTTGGTTAATAGTGTGTTAAATTTAGGCACTTGTAAACTTTCTTAATTGTGCATTATACATATATATTTGTGTGTGTGTATATATATATATATATATATATATATATATATATATATTTTTTTTTTTTTTGGAGATTTTAAGAACAGATACCTTTTTAGGAGCTCCAGTGGCGCAATCCGTTAGCGCGAGGTACTTATAAGAACAGATACCTTTTTAAAGAGATGATGGGATTGGTGACTCTCCTGTGTGTCTTAAATTTCTGTAATTTCAAGTTTTTGCAATATTTTGATTGAAATTTCTTGAACTGTACAAAGTCTTGCATATATTTCTTGTCATTCTCTAGTAAAAGGAGTGGGTGAAGATTAGATGGTAGGTAGGGAGAACTGGCAGTCGAATCTAATAAGAAAAAATTTAGCTGATTGTAAAATCTGGTTACTTAGTATATAGGTCAGGACAGATTTCTTTTTTTTTTTTTGATAGATATAACTCATTTGAACCAATAATTTTATGCAACTCTATTGGACACTAATGTGATCTTTCTCTGCACTAGTAACTTTTTAATTTTGGCTACCACACTTTTAAAGGAAATAGGATAGTGAGAGAACATGATGGTACAGCATATAAGAAATAGTTAAAGTAGCATTTTCCAAATGGTTCTATAGGAAATAAATAGTTTGCCAAGGGAAATTAGGAGATCATGCTGAAATAAATTTGGTAAACAGTGGAATTAATCAAAGATGAAAGTTCATTTTAACTGAAACTTTTAATGGCCTTAAGTATGCTTATGTTCATTATTATAGTTTGAGGAGGGAGGTATAGTGATTCTTTGAGACATAATTAGATGTGGAATACTTATACCCTGGAAAAGTGTTCTGAGGAACAGAACATCTTTCTCCCTTAAAAAAAAAAAAAAAGCTGTTTTTACTATATTTACCATACTTTAGGAAACCAATTTGGGAAATGTTGTTTTAAAGAAACTGAATATTTAGCCTGGAGAAGAGGAGAATTATCTTTTAGATGCAACTGTATGAAATTGGATAGGAGGGTAAATCAGGATCAATATTGAAATTTATAGAGAAAAAGATTATAATGCATTGAAAGAAAGATCTCAGTTAACCAAAGATACAGTGCTCTAGATGATAGTCCATGTAAGAATCATGAATAAAATGGGTATCTGCTGTCTATGGGTGTTACAAAAGAGGATGTAGATTTCACATGGGTAAATTTGATATTTAAGGTCTCTAATAATTCTGAAATTATTTTACTAGAGGTTTTTCCAAGAAGCTTTTGTTGCTAGACTTTCTCCTTAATATAGTTTTGAGTGTTTTTTAATCATGGTATAAGTTTTCAAAGTCAATGAATAACTGACTAGATGTTTTACTTTTTTAATTTTTTAAATATTTATTTTTTTAGTTGTAGTTGGACACAATACTTTTATTTATTTATTTTCATGTGGTGCTGAGGATTGAACCCAGGGCCCCACCCTTGCTAGGCAAGGGCTCTACCACTGGGCCACAACCCCAGCCCTTGACTAGATGTTTTAATCGTTTGAAAAATTCTGTAGTGAAAAAATCTGAATTCAGGTATTGGTACCACTATGTTATATGATTGCAGGTAAATCACATTTTTTTTCATAGCTTTTAGCTTTTAAAATATTTAAAGTGAAGGTAATATAAAATAAAGGTTAGGAGCCCAAAATTTGGGCAGACAAACCTCTGAATTGAATATATGCCTCTCYAATTCTATGATTTTTATCCCAGACTAACTTTGTTTTTCAAATGGAAAAGAATAGTATTAATCTCGCAGGATTGTTGCAAGTACTATATACTGTGTTTGTCATTCTGTATGGCATTTAATTATGTTAAATATATACAGAAGTAAGCATAAACTGGAATTTCACTAATTAAGAAAGTAAAGGTCATAGTTATAAAGTGATTTGACAGAAGTGTTGACCAGTGACTGAAATTCAGGTCTTTTCTCATACAAGTTCATTATTTTCATTTCAATAATGATGTACCTCCTGTCCTGAATCATTCATATAACATTTATCATAGGCCAAGGAGTTTACATGGTGTTAGAGATATAAAAGACTAGACTCTCTTGAATGTCTCGTGGGTTTGAGGAAGGGAACAAGTGGAGGTGTAGGTGAAGAAGAGGGAGACTGACCTTCTTAGGTTCTGTGATTGTAGTGGATACAAAGGAATACCTAAAATTTAGAATTGAGAGAAGGAGAGTGGGGGTGGAGAAGGATTCCCAGAGAATACTAGGAATGAAAAACGCCAAAAAAAGTAGGGAGGAAATGTGTAAAAAAATCTAGGTAAAGTCTAGTATATGAGAAGATGCGTATTTGAGAATTTATAAATAGGTACCTGCTGTTGGCATATAATAAGAAATGAATAATAAGTAGACTGATTAAAATATATATATGTGTGTGTGTGTATGAGTATACATATATATATATATATAGTGCTTATATGCAATGGAATTCTTCAGATCTTTGTGATCAGTTAGCCATAAGTCAAAGGAAAGCCTCTGGGATAACTCCTAGATTTCTAGCTTTGACACTTTGAAGAAGAAGTATATTTGTTTTGGTGCCCTGTATTCATTGAAAGAGTTGAGATAAGATAAAGTAACAAGTAACAGGTTTGGAAGATAGAATGGCATTCAGTTTTTTTTAATATTTATTTTTTAGTTTTAGGTGGACACAATATCTTTATTTTACATTTATGTGGTTCTGAGGATTGAACCCAGAGCCTCATGCATACTAGGCAAACACTCTACCATTGAGCCACAACCCCAGCCCTGGCGTTCAGTTTTTGATATGTTGAATTTGAGATGCCTAATGATATCTAATTTTCAGYACATATCCATTAGGCTGTTTGGTAAATGAATCTTAGCTTAGGAAAGAAGGCTGGTCCCGAAAGAGTAACTTTAAGGAAATAAGATAGATGGCACATAGAAACTATGAAGTGCATGAGTTACTTTCCTGGAAAGCAACTTTAAAAGGAGAGTGTGCTTACATATATGCATGTGCATGGAGAGAGGAGAGAGATGCTATGCCATCATTCATCACTCAGAAAAATTTAGATAATATAAAAGTAGGAAGTACTTAAGAGTTCACAAAATTTAGCTATGTCAATTTCTGAATATTTCATTTGCATGAAAGTCAATTTAGGGGTCTTCCTTGTTTTTCAGGGGACTTAAGGTAAAATTGTGGCAGAAAGTATAACAGAATAATTTTCTTGGCAGGAATGGGTAGTGTTTGAGATCAAACAGACCTGGTTATGAATCTGTCTATGCCACTTTCTGGCTCTTATGATCTTGGGTAGTATAATTCTCTCTCAATCTGTTAAGTGGAAATAATAGTTTTCTTTTAGTAAGGTTGATACTTGCCTCTAGTAGTTGTAGTGATCAGCAGTAACATGTAGAAATTTCCTGATATTTATAGTACACCCACAGAATTAAACCAAACCTCTTATGATTTTATTATCAGATTATTATTCTGTTTCTGTCTGGTATCACAGTTTTGTTTTGAAGCCAATTATTCTATAGATAATTGAATAATGGGATTTCAGGCTATAGTTATTTGTAGATGCCTAGTGGTTTGAAAGGTTTCAATATATGCATAAAATTTTGTGGTTGAGTAGTATTTTTATTGTTTAAAGCCAAAAAATGAATCCTAAAGGCTTTTTTAACGTTGATTTATTCTTCATAAAAATTTGTGAGACTAGGAAGTATTATTTCTGCATATGATAGATGAGGAAATTGAGATACACTGGAGCTAATAAATAACTTAAAATTATATAGTTAGTAAGTGAAAAGAAAGGTTATGAGTCCAGGTAATACTAGGGAGGATGGCTGCAGGGACAGTTCAATGCTCTGGAGCAGATCCTTTGGTGATATCACTTCAATCCCATCCCACTTACTGTAGAGATGTGGATATTCTTCTGTAGCTATGTGTCTGTCATATCACACTCACTTCTTACTTTTGAGAAAATGAAATATGTTTCTGAAAAAAGCATGTCTGTGTCAGCAGAGTTGGTGCAAAAAAAAGTAAGATGTACTGTTAGTCTCATATTTATCAAAGCTAGCCTTTATTTGATATTGTGGAATTTTGGCAATCTTTTTACATACCTTGTCTTATTCAGTCTTAAAAGCAACCATGTTATAAGGTTATCCCATTTTTAAGTGAAGAGACTGAAGGGTGAAGAAATTGAATAAATTGTCTAAGATTGCACAATAAGGAAACCTGAAATTGAGGTGCTGTGGCTCAGAATTTCATATTTTAAAATGCTTTGCCCCAGTGACTTTGTTTCCATTTATAATTAGGAAGGTTCTATTGGAAATTGAAAAAGCTTTCACAGTGTATTCTTTCTCCACGCTGTGAATTTTAATTTTTGTATTTATTCATGATAACATTGAATGAACAACATAAATTAATTAATAAGCCACAGCATTGATATTAGGAAAAATCCTAAAGAATATAGTAATTAAAGTACATTTTTAATGATAAGTGAGTTCTCAGCTCTTTTGCCTTAGCTCCTGCCCACCTGTTTTATTTCTTAAGCTGCAGCTAGTAGGAAATTATAGTAGCTCTTGTTTTTGCTCAGATGACCAGAGGTTGTATTCTCTCATCTCTCTAGTAACTTCTAGTAGATAGGTTCAGGGACTGACTTGAATCTCTTATTCCAGTTATTGGGTTTTGGATTCTGGTGAAGCTGTTTGGGATTGCTGACAAAATAAGCAATATTGGCAGAAGCCTACTTATACTTGGTCACAGAAAGATTGAGTGGCCTATATAATAAAGTGATTTAAATCTTGCGCTATGAAGATTAACAATGATTATGTATTCTTTGATGGCAGTATGTTTTGTTTTCTTGCTCCTTTTGCTGTGTGTGTGTGTGTGTGTGTGTGTGTGTGTGTGTGTGTGTGGTGGTGGGGATTGAACCCAGGACCTTATGTATGGGACACAAGCATTCTACCAACTGAGCTATGCCCCCAGCCCTTGTTTTATTTTTTTCCTTCTCTCTCTTGTTCTTTTTTTTTTTTTAATCATTACTGGTTTTATTTATCTTTTTTCACTTTTTCTGTCCCTTTAGAAGGCTCAGGCTTTCTAAAGATACTGCTTAATTAAACAGTAATAAAAGAAGTTTCCAGTTTCTATTGTAGGGAAGAACTCTTGATGCAGAACTAAAGGGAACAAACAGCAAAGAGTAATCACCCAACATGGCAGCCACAACTGTCCTTGGTTTCTTGTACAAAGGAATGCTTCATAGATTATGGGTTCTATGACATAAATTTAAGCATTTTTAAATTGAACTTCATTTTAGGTATTACAGCCATGAATGAAGAAAATATAGATGGAACAAATGGATGTGGTAAAGTTCGAACTGGCACTCAGAATGAAGCGGCATTACTTGCTTTGATGGAAAAGACTGGTTACAACATGGTTCAAGAAAATGGGCAAAGGAAATTTGGTGGTCCACCTCCAGGTGGGGATTTGTTTATATTCTTTTAAATTAGATCTTTAGTCATTTAGATGATGTGTATGTTTCTGCAAGTACCCCAAATAGTAGCTCTCTCCTTGTAACTGCTTTAAGACCTCACCAGTCATTTTAAGGGGAAGGGATATATGCTGTGCTCGTCTTACTCCCCCACCTCCCACCTCCCTTTTCCCCCAGCTCTGCTCTTGGTTTGAGAAGTAGTTGAGAAAGAAGTCTGGATTGGTACAATGTGAAAAAGTGTACTTTTGGTATTAAAGGGGAAGTTGTTTGGGAGAGAATTTGAAAGCAATGAGTAGAAAATTGCTATTTATAGAAGAAAATCAGATTCAAACAGATATAGTATTTTATTTTCCTATCAGTGGCAGTGCAGCTACTTTGTTCAGAGCCCTCCAGTTAGCTTTATTATATCTAAAGTTCTTGCTTCCAATGACCTCAGTGACTGTATCACTAAATACTTTGCTTGACCCTCAAGCATGCTGTAGCCATTTAGACCTTTATGCTATTTTGCTCTAACATCTAAAACTCTTGTTTTTTTCTTCTTCCCGAATGCTCTTCTCTGAGAGATTCCTCATGGCTCATTCCCTTATTTGTACTTAAACATCACAAGCTCAGAGCTTTACCATGTCACTATTGAATGCATCATCCCTTTCATGGCTTGCTTTTTCCTTCATAACACTTACCATTCACTTATTGTCTTTCTTGTCTTTTGAATATCAGCCATTGTATCTCCAACACCTAGAATAGTGCTTGGCACATCAGAGGCTCACAGCAAGTTTGTTGAATGAATAAATGATTCAGTAATGAATAAATGTTTTTAGATTTTTTTTTTTTTTTTTTTTTGGTCTTTCAGGTTGGGAAGGTCCACCTCCACCAAGAGGCTGTGAAGTTTTTGTAGGAAAAATACCTCGTGATATGTATGAAGATGAGTTAGTTCCTGTATTTGAAAGAGCTGGAAAGATATATGAATTTCGACTTATGATGGAATTTAGTGGTGAAAATCGAGGTTATGCTTTTGTGATGTACACTACAAAAGAAGAAGCCCAGTTAGCCATCAGAATTCTTAATAATTATGAGATTAGACCAGGGAAGTTTATTGGTGTGTGTGTGAGCTTGGATAATTGCAGATTATTTATTGGAGCTATTCCTAAGGAAAAGAAGAAAGAAGAAATTTTGGATGAAATGAAGAAAGTTACTGAAGGAGTTGTAGATGTCATTGTCTATCCAAGTGCAACTGATAAGACCAAAAATCGTGGTTTTGCATTTGTTGAATATGAATCTCACAGAGCTGCTGCTATGGCTAGGAGAAAACTAATTCCAGGTAAACTGATCTTTTAAAGGTTATTTTTCCATATTAACTTTATTATTACAAACATGGAAAAATAACAGTACATCATAGATCATTATTAACAAAATATGTAATGCCGCTTAACAGGAATAAAGAATTGTTTGAGTAAGGGAAGTAAAATAAACGATTCTAAAAGACAAGAAAATATTCCTATAAAAATTTATCATGTTTATGATAATTATCAATTACTGAATTGTATACTTTAGTTGAGGTGTTAATTATTAATAAAAATCCAAAGAGAATTAATTCTTCTAATGGAGACCTAGCTTTAAAGAATATTTGTCATATTTACTTAAATAAATTTCATTGTCAGGTGCTTGCCTGTAATCCAAGCTACTTGAGAGGCTGAGGTATTAGGATCCCAAGTTTGAGGCCTTCTTGGTCAACTTAGCAAGACCCTGTCTCAAAATTGAAAAAGGTCCGGGGATATAGCTAAGTGCTAAAGCATCCCTGTGTTCAGTTCCCCGTATCGGATACAGAGGGGATTCTGTTAAATTCTGATTATGTTTGCTTTAATAAAAAGTTTTTATGTGAGTAGGAAATGAAGGCTTAACCAAATATAATGATATGTGCTTGAGTTTCTGCTTCTTTGAAGAAATAGTTTTACTTAATATTTTAAACTTTTGTTTTTTGTTCTGATTGTCTTCAAATTAATATAATTCTTTTATACAGGAACATTCCAACTATGGGGCCACACCATACAGGTAGATTGGGCTGATCCAGAGAAAGAAGTTGATGAGGAAACCATGCAGAGAGTTAAAGTTCTCTATGTAAGAAATTTAATGATATCAACTACAGAGGAAACTATTAAAGCAGAATTCAATAAATTCAAGCCTGGTGCAGTTGAACGAGTAAAGAAACTTAGAGACTATGCTTTTGTTCACTTTTTCAATCGAGAAGATGCAGTGGCTGCTATGTCTGTTATGAATGGAAAATGCATTGATGGAGCAAGTATTGAGGTAACACTGGCAAAACCAGTAAATAAAGAAAACACTTGGCGACAGCATCTTAATGGTCAGATTAGCCCCAATTCTGAAAACCTGATTGTGTATGCTAACAAAGAAGAGAGCCACCCAAAAACTCTAGGCAAGCCACCAACTCTTCCTGCTCGTCTTAATGGTCAGCATAGTCCAAGCCCCCCTGAAATTGAGAGATGCACTTACCCTTTTTTTCCTGGAACAAAGCTTACTCCAATTAGTATGTATTCTTTAAAATCCAATCATTTTAATTCTGCAGTAATGCATTTGGATTATTACTGCAACAAGAATAATTGGGCACCACCAGAATATTATTTATATTCAACAACCAGTCAGGATGGGAAAGTACTCTTGGTATATAAAATAGTTATTCCTGCTATTGCAAATGGATCCCAGAGTTACTTCATGCCAGACAAACTCTGTACTACGTTAGAAGATGCGAAGGAACTGGCAGCCCAGTTTACATTACTTCATTTGGGTAAGTTTAAAAATATTTAAATAATGTTGAATATGAAGTTATGAATATAATGAAAGACTGTTTATAAATGTGTTTATTTTGAATTCTTAACATTAGTGCAGAGCATTTAATATTAATTTTATCTGTTTTATGAATTCATGATAAACTGTTGAAAGTTGTCTCCTATATAATATTCCTACATATAGCTTTTTAAGCATTTCTTGCTTAGAAGAAAATTTGGTTTTGATTTAGACCCTGTTTCATTTACTTTATTATTTTTATAATGACAAATCCTAATTTGATAAAAATTTGTTTGTTACAGAATTTATGATGTAAACCAACTTATAATTCTGCCTCTACATCTTTGGTAAAGTCTACACAGTGATCTTTTTGAGATACAGGAGTAGGGAGTTCTTTGAGAGACATTTCATGTGGGTTATGTATTGAGCCAGCCTTATGCTCACCAATCTGGAAATTTGTCATTATTACTCATGAAAGGAAAAAAAAAGCATCATTAAGAGGTGTTTATTACCATCCTCTCTTAATAATTTGTACATTTATAAAGTAAGTTTACAGTGTTTGAGGGATAATTAATAAGGCTATGGTGCTAATATAAAGATATTCTAACTAAATATTTGACATTTGTAAAGGAAGACATGTCACTCTGGTGGTGTCCTACTTCTTTCATTTGTGTAATTTTTTAATGCATCTATGGAATTCAATTGGTGATTCCTCTCCGTCCAGAATAACATTTACTAGAAGAGTAGTGGTTTCTTGGTCAGCAATAAGAGAGAAAGATCTACTACTGAGGATTACAGTTTTTTCTAGATTATAATTGTCAAACTTTTAGCTTATATGGTTTCAGAACCATACTAATGAAGCTTTTATCTATATAAAATTAGTATTCTCAAATTTACTCAAGAGAAGGAATCAAGAAGAAAAATATTATCATAATGGAGAGTAAATTTAATACATTGTGAAACTTACCCATACTTCTGTTTTGAATATTTTCAGGAGAGTTTGGTTTGGATATCTCATCAAAACTTTAGGGCTAAATATAGGAGACTCCTTCAAAGAAACTTTTCAGTAGTGTCCTTCATTAATAGTTTGGAAATGTTAGGAATTTAATAGTCACAGAAGATAAATTCTTAGATATTACTCTGTTTACACAAAATAGAAACTTTCTTTTTCTTTAAACAAAGATCATCTAAATTTATAATAGCAAATCATTCAAATTCAAATTCTTAGACAAAAATGGGTTAAAATTTTTTTTGGAGTTGGGTATAGGTAATTAGCTGCTGAGCAAGGATTTCCCTTGTGTCTGATCTACCATGGTAATGCTGACACATTTTAAAATTTTTGTCCCTATTCATTCCCTTACAAATTTACTTAAATGTCTAAGATTCTTGGAACGCGGCAGGTTTTTACGTAGACATGGTTTGCCCATATGTTTATCCCATAAAGAAGATTAGATTTGGAGGTTTTTCATCAACTTTAACTTTCTTATTAGGATACTTTTAACTTGAGTCCTAGGGCCTTAGTTAACTGTTATTGACCTGGAGTTCCTAAGAAAACTCTTACAGATATGTGTAACTTGATTTTGGTTAATTAATGATAAAATTAGCTTTAAGAAATTAAATACTTAGAGGGTTACATGCGGTTTCCTTTTTATCAACCTTGTATCAAAGCTGCTGTTAATAAAAAGTTGAATGATTTTATTTTATGTATTTACTCAGTGTATTTATTATCAGGGTGAAGAACTAATAAATTTAAGCAAGATCCAGATATAAAAATATTTAAAAAATTAGATTAAATCCTAGGGCCTATTTGAGCACAATACCTAAGACCTAGGCCTTGACTAGAGACAGTAATAGAAAAATCCATATTACACTTGAATAATAAATATAACTGAAGTTTGCTCAGGTAGAGATAGGAGCTATTACATTTAGGCAAATGAAGAGTAGGAAAGAAAGAATTTAGGGAAGCAGAAAAGCCAGAGATCCAAGAAACTTCGATCCTTAAAAAAAAAAAAAAGCAAATATCAGGCCTTCAGAGGTCATTGAAGCAGGGTCAGGAGCTATGGACAGCCAGGAGGTTACATGTTACCACATAGTGGATTAGGAATAGATTGAATATTGCTTGAGCAATGTTTTAGTTCACTTTTTTTCTTTTAAAAATATTGGAGCCTCTGATTACAACATTTAAAGTGTTGATCCTATTTTAGATGCACCTCCTGTAGAGTTTCATTGGGTAGTTCAGGGTTGAAATAAATTAATGGTAGTAGTATGTTTTTGGAGGGGAAGGGGTAGTGTATTTATATTCTGCTAAATGTTTCAAGGATTGAATTTTTCTGAAGTCTTACAAAGTTGTTATTGGCTCTTGGATTCTCTCAAATAGAATTCCTTGTGTGTTAAATCATCTTTTGGCTCCATTTAAAAAATAGAAACTAATTTTTTTTATTTCATTTTTAACTGCTATTTTAAGATATTTTCTTTGAATGTGATAATTTTTTAAAATTTTTGTCTGGATATTCTTCTGTGAATCCTTTCAGTTTCATTCTTTTTTCAGGTATTGTTATCTGATCTTACTTTAATTAGTTTTACTATTGTATGTAATACAAATAATCGTTTACCTTTTTATTTCAGCTCATTTTGAAGGTATTTCTAATACCTCCTAATCCACATAATTTTGGAATTACCATCCTCATATTTTGAGTTTGAAAACTAAAAGAGGAAAAGAAAATTAGACTTTATGTACTTAAATGATCATCATTAATGTTATGAAAAACAGATATACCTTTTGAGAACTAACAAGCAACTAAATGAATATTAGAAATATGGGAGTTTAATTCTGGTGACCATTTAGTGATCTTACCCGAATCCAAAAAGTTCTTGTTTTAAAGCATATAAACTTTTAGAATTAATCTCTGTCTCTCTTCCCAACCTCTCTCCCTACTCCCTCCTCCTGTCCCCCCCTCCCCTCCCCCACTTTCTCTCTTTCTCTCTCACAGGTTCCTTCCAAATGAGTTCTATTTTAAGCCAAATACCCTTAAATAGAAGTAAAGCTGAAAGTATATTTTTTTGCTTCAAAATTATAAACTGTCTCCATTTTCATAATATCAGAGAATAACCTTCCTTTATGTCATTTGGAGATGATCACCTGTCCACCAGGATAAGAAATTGTGTATTTGCCTGGCTATTTTTTAGGAACCTGTAATAAATATGATCTTCAGTGAGTCTAATAGGTGTAGACTTGAGGGTTAGGATGGATAAGTTCTGTCCTAAATGTATAGTTTATAGAGATATCATTCAGTATCACTTTTAAATAAGTTTTTTTTTTTAATTTTGCATCTCTTTAGTAGTGGGTCAGAATGATCATGTGAGTAAGAATCCTGCTTTTCTTAAAGATTAATTCTGTTTTGGATCTGGACGTTTCAGTAGTTATCACTGCTTTTCTCTGGAGGACTCTCTTGTAGGAGTGGAATAAACAAAATCAAGGAGATAAAGGAAAGTTCTGAGGAGTTAAAAAATTGAAAAGTCCTGGAGAGTACTTGGTGGAAGGGAAGAAGGAGTCTTCTTTGTGTTGATATGAATTTTCCTTATTAAATAATTTATTAACAATAAGTGTAGGCAAGGCATTCCTGCTTATTACTGTGTAATGCTCACTGATGGTAGTGGTTGTTTTTTCTTGACCACGTGAAACTTTAGTTTTTAAAAACAGGGATGAGAACCTCTCTATCACAAACTAGCTTGTGCTTTTGATTTAATTATACCTGATTTGTGTACTGTTGTTCTGGCCATGGTATGATGAAGTTTAACTAAAGAAGACATCTTTTTTGAATACCTCTTGTGAGATAAATGTGCTTTCTTAAGCACTTCAGAGATAAAGATAAGTAAAACTTGTTTTTCTCTTAAGAAGTCATGGGCTAATGAAGGCAGCACAAATGTATGCATAGGCAATTTTGGTAGTATGAGGGAGGGGCTAGCTTTCTACCTGATCCAAGCTGTAAATCTTGAGAGAATATAATTAAAGAGAGGCACACAACACCAGCAAATTTCTTTAAGAAAATAGTATTGTGGTAGGTTAGTGACTGGCAGTTGTATATAGTGTTTGCTTTGGAAATTTCAGTCAGATTTTAAGAATTAAAAAAGTTGAAAAGATGTGGATGTTAACTGAACTTTTATTAGTCCTTCTGTTTAAAACTTTCCAAGTATTGTTTTTAGTACTACTGTGTTGGATGTACTTGGGGTTTCCTTGATGCATTTAGTTTTTCAAGATYAACCTATCCTGATTTCTGTGGACCACTTTATATATAAGTGTCATTTTTACTGGCTTTTTTTGTCTGACTTGTATGTTGCTTATAATTTGATTTGAAACAGCATCAGCATACTCTTTATTTTTTCTAGTCATTTATTTATTAAAATATTTAGTGTATGTATTTGTATTGTTTGCTATCAGTATCATTAAATTTAGTCTTTTATTTTCTGTTTTCACTTGTAACTTTCAAGAGTTATGAAATGGCAAGGTGAAAGTCATGTTGAGAAGTTTTCATCTTAAAACTAATTGGTGCTTTTTTCTTATGAACTATTATTTCCAGATTGATGGGCAGAAGTGCAAAAATAAAAAAAATTAGATTTAAAATTTTGGCAATAAATTGTTTTGAAATAAAGAGAAACTTTTTCTCAGAGTTTTAAATTTTAATAAGTAATTTTAGTAGATATTTGAGTTAAATATAAAATGATGGTTACTTTAATTATAAGTAGAAAGCTATTCTTTCCAGTTTTAATTGCACCTGTGATGATGCTGTCTCAAACTGATACTTCAAAGAATAAAAATAATTTGATTTAAAAATCACCTAGTTAAGTGTTAGGTTTTGTATGATGACATATACTTGCTTTTTCGTTATTTTCTTCTGAATTAGTCAAAACCAAGATTTTTAAGATTTATATAAAACAAATTTTACACATTTGTTTTCATATGATCAAATGGTGAGATCAAAATTCCATTAACTCAACTATGTG